AATCTGAGCTCAAAAGCCTTGGTCTGCAGTATGGGGGGGGGGAGAAGGCTTCAGCAGATAAATTCTTAAGATAAATTCTTTTCCATAGGTCCTTATCAAGTGCTGTTTTTTTTGGGGGGGGGAAGTATTTCCTCTACTCTGTGAGGGCCCCACAAGGAGGACTGGACCAAGGCAGACTAGCCACATCAGCTACAAGGGAGTGATGAAGCAGGCGCGGCATTTAGTCAAAGGAAGGGGATTTGGGGCCTCCGGTTTCAGGCCTGCTCTCCTGAGGTGAGTGAATAAATTGTGAAAACCAGGCAGCCCTCCCTCCAAGTTGGAGGTACCTGGGTTGTGAAAAAAGTCCAGTTTGAGGAGCTGGCTGGTTCCCTGAGCCTTCCTCCAGCAACGCCCCTTTCTGCCAAGTGGAGGAAAGCTTGTCCGGCAACCCAAGGAGCTCCCGAGGCCCCTTTTCCACCCTTTCCTCGGGAATTGAGAGCAGGACATGTCCCAACGGGCTTAAGCGACAGGAAGCCGGATTTCAGTTGAAGATCAGGGCAAAAGTTCCTAACGGTTTGAGGAGTACGACAACGGAACCTGTGACCTTACGAGGAGGTGGTGAGCGCTCCAAGGCTGGAGCCATTTCAAGGGGAAATTGTGCCACCCTCTGTCTAGCCAGCTTTGATTTGGATCCCTGCAGTGAGCAAGAGGTGTGGACAGGATGGCCTTGTTCCAGGATTCTAAGAAACAGAGAGGCAGGCTGCGCTGGATGGATTTTCGATCTCTCTGAAAACTCAGCTGCACAGCTTGGGGGTCCTCCTGGATTCATCCCCGAGCCTGAATGCCCAGGCTTTGGTGTCCCTTTTCATTCCCAAAGGACAGCGTTCCCTGGAAAATCCTGTTGAAAAATTGACTTTTCATGTCCCTTTTCTCCATTTTCCAAGGATGAGGAGCTTAACCCAGCAGGCCAGGGAGAACGGGTTTCACCATTTATCTCCTTTTTCCTGAAACAAAATTGGGCCCCCGTTGGCATTGCTCTCCCACTCTGCCCTAAGTCAGTTTTTTAAGGTGGAGAAGTAAGAAATCTTCAGTTTTGGGCAGTTCGTGAATTGAAAAAAAGACCAAAGGCAGGAGAAGAAGCCTGGATTCCCGGAGGAGAAGACGAGGCCTCTGGGCTTTTTTCTCCAGCCGGGTCAGTCCCTGGAGGGCGATGTGTCATCCCCCTCCTTCGTGGCTCCTGGCCTCTCCTCCTGGCCCTGAGGAGCCCCTTCCCGGATCCTGGATTCCCCCCAAATGGCATGTGTCAGACCCCTCCCAGGGCCTTGAAAGAGGCCATCCCCTCCCCACTCCCTTGGTGCACCTTCTCCACCCTCCTGGGGGGGCCCTTATTCTCTTCCTCCTCCTCCTCTCCTCTCCTTTCCTTTTCCTGCAGCCTACTCGAGAGGAGGAGGGGGTCCAGTACCTGTTTCCCTTTCTTGCCTCTTATTAGGTGGCCCTCGGAAGAGGGGCGGTGGGGGCTTCTCAGGGGCTCCTCTTTGGTGATGCCTCCCACCCTCAGACCCCTTTGGAGGAAGCTGCCTCTCAAAAAAACCCCGAGGGGCCCTGAGACCCCCCCAGTTTGTGACCCCCAGCCAGAGAGGAAGGGGTTCCGACTTCCTATATGGATCCTGGCTGGAGGGCTGCCCTTCTTTCCACCTGGGGCTCCAGAGAAGGCAGAGCTGCCCAACGGTTTCCTGGGGGGATCAAGATTATCATCTTCATCATCACCTCTCTCTCTTTTGGGGGAGCTGTCAGAAGAGCTCCTACAACCAGGGAAGTAGCCCGGATCAGGCCCCTCCTCTTCCCCCACAGCTGCCCCCCCATCTTCACCTCCCCAAGGCCCCTATGTCTGGGACCCCCAACCCTCGCCCCCCCTTGGCAGCCCCTCCTGGAGCCCAGGGACCCCCTCCTTCCCTTCTGACACCCATTTTATGTGACAAGGGGGTCTCCTCACAGGAAAAGCCAGGATGATGCCCCTGAAGATGCACGGGGGGCAACGGGGGGTGGGGGAGGGACCAACGCACCAGGTGTTTGTGTGTGGGCAATTGCAAACCTGACAGCCCAGAAAAGATTCTCCCCCCAACACACAGACAAGCACCCCTTTGGAGGAAACCGCCTCTCAAACCCCCCCGAGACCTCTATTATTATTTTCCCTTCCTGAATGGAGGGAGGGGCCCTGAGACCCCCCCAGTTTGTGACCCCCAGCCAGAGAGGAAGGGGTTCCGACTTCCTATATGGATCCTGGCTGGAGGGCTGCCCTTCTTTCCACCTGGGGCTCCAGAGAAGGCAGAGCTGCCCAACGGTTTCCTGGGGGGATCAGGATTATCATCTTCATCATCACCTCTCTCTCTTTTGGGGGAGCTGTCAGAAGAGCTCCTACAACCAGGGAAGTAGCCCGGATCAGGCCCCTCCTCCTTCCAGGTCCTGAGGGTTGAAAACCCGGAAGAATATTCCTCCACCGATCATAGAGATGAGGGGAGGGAGGCAAAGAGAGCCCAGCCCCCTCCTTCCACTTCCGGTGGCGCCTAGAGCTACAAATAGACCCACCTCCCACTTTTTTCTAGCTCTAGGTTCCCCCACCCCGGCATTGAAGCCTGAATGAATGAAAGGGGGGGCAGGGGTGTGGGTGTGAAAGTGTTAAAACAAAACAAAAGGGGGGAGAAGAGAAGAGGGGGGCTTTTGTCTTCCTGCAAAAAAAGAGAGGGGGAGATCTCACAGATTCCCAGACCCCTCTCCCCCACCCCCTTCCTCTCCCTCCCTGATCGTTGCTGATTATTTTGTTTTTTATGTTATTGTTTAATTCTGTTTTTGTAAACTGCCCAGAGTGGCCCTGGCAGCCAGATGGGGGGTATCAAATTTTTTTAAAAATCAATAAATAAAAGAAGGGGGATGGGTCTCCATTAAAGTAAGGAATAGATTGTCTCCTTTAGTCCTAGGAGCCCAGTAAGTGTATATGTGGATTTGTTTTGTTTTTTGTTTTTTAGCACTTTTAAAAACAAGAAAACACAGTGGCCAGTGTATTCTGAGCTTTGTAGTCCAAAAAAAGTAACTTTTCCAGTCTTGACCTTTCAAGACTGAGTAGGTTGAATGGTCATGGTATTGCCCCATATTCAAAGAGCTATTCTCCTCAATACCTAATTCCAAATGCGACATGCCCCAACCTCACCCCGTGCAGAGAGCCCCCCCCAATACATCCTCCTTTGTCCTCATTTTTGGCTTACTATGTCCTCCTTTTTGTACCCATATATCTGGCAATCCTATTTCAGGGGGGCTTCCGCAACCCAGGTAAGGAAGCGGGCACCCTGGAAAAGCCACTGCCGCAGCACTGCCTGAAGGACAGACAGATGGACAGGGGCTGGGTTGGCCAGAGATCAAAAGGAGCTGGTATATTCCCAATGTTCTCCCTCCCCGCGAGGTCTCCCCTGCTCAGCCCCACCATTTTATGATGATGATGATTTTCATTATTATTATAATATGTATTACTCATTGATTGATTTATTTTCTTTCCAATTTTTAATTTACTTATTTTTTACCTTATTTTGTGCTTTAAAAAGAGAGGTTTGATCAGATTGGAAATTTGTGAACAAAGCTTTTCTAGTGGAAAATCTGATGCAGACCAGCCTCAACCAGACTTTGCGTCCAGCGGCCCCCAGGTAAATTGATTTTGAGACCCCTGACGTACATTATGCTCTCTACTCATGTTTATTTCTTATAACAGTGGTCCCCAACCTTGGCCCT